CCTGGGTGGGGGTCCATGGAGATTAATCAGGATTGGGAGGGGCTTAACCCGTGGAGGATCCTGAGGCCTGCGTTTTCATCTGTAAGAGCGGGTAGAGGCCAGAGGGATTGAGGAGACACAACCAAATTGGACTTTAGTGACCAGTCCGATGGAAAAGCGTAGGGTGGACTCGACAGGAGTCACTGTGGGCACTTTCACTAGTTAGGAATTCAACAGCCAACCTTAGGAAGAATAAGGAGGATGCAAGCATGACGTCACAGTTTCCCTCCCTTGAGGTAAACTGTTTGTTGTTAGCAGTTCTAATTCAGAACAGGTGCATCAGACCAAGCGCCATTTTCTAAAGTTCAGTTTTGGTGGACAGAGTTATCTAAAAAGATCCTTAATCTTAGGGACACAGACCTTGCCAACGCAGACTTTTCTTTTTAGGAGCCCCTCTGATAAAATTAGAAATGAGCTCAAGGAAGGTTCCATCAGGGCCGTGTGTTTTACTGCCAGGGCATTTAAAATCTTGTTCCAGGGGTACCTGGGTGGCTCATTTGGTTACGTGTCCAGTTCCTGATCTCAGCTCAGGTCTTGACCTCAGGGTTGTGGGTTCAAGCCCTGCATTGGAGCCTACTTTAAAAAAATAATACAAATGAACAAAATCTGTTTCCAGTTTTCCTTTTGGCAGGTTCTCAAACTGGTATGAACTCTTTCTTCCCAGGTACCTCCAGATCATCAGTTACTCGATGTAAACCAGGAGCCAACTGCCCCAGTTCACACAGTGGCATCAGTAGGCAACTGTCCCCTCTTTCTGTCACCGAAGATTCTTCTGCTCCTATTCTTGAACTTCAGAGCCGAGGATCTTCTGGAGTTTGCGGACATAGAGTCGAAAGGCAGAACAGATCAGGTGAGCTGGTGACCTCCTCTTTTTTTTTTTTTAAATATGAAATTTATTGTCAAATTGGTTTCCATACAACACCCAGTGCTCATTCCAACAGGTGCCCTCCTCAGTACCCATCACCCACCCTCTCGTCCCTCTCACCCCCCATCAACCCTCAGTTCTGTTTTTAAGAGTCTCTTATGTTTTGGCTCCCTCCCTCTCTGACCTCCTCTTAAATAACAGTACACCTAGGTAACCTTCGAACCAGCCGTGAAAGATCACACCATTGGCCCAGAACGCAGGGATGTTACATGGACTCTGAGGAGTGGGAGTGGGGAATTTATCAAGTGGGAGGAGAAGGAAGAAGGGACATGTATAGATGGGATCTGTTAGTGGGATACGTACAGTGTAGCAGAGAAACCAAATACCAAAACCTGCCGTTGCAGGGCTTAACACATGATTAAATGGTGACACCCAGGGCGCCTGGGTGGCTCAGCCGGTTAAGAGTCTGACTTTGGCTCAGGTCATGATCTAGCAGTCTGTGAGTTCGAGCCCCGCGTCAGGCTCTGTGCTGACAGCTCAGAGCCTGGAGCCTGTTTCAGATTCTGTGTCTCCCTCTCTCTGACCCTCCCCCGTTCATGCTCTGTGTCTCTCTGTCTCAAAAATAAATAAACGTTAAAAATAATAATAAGTAAATAAATAAATGGTGACACCCTATTAAGTTTACAGGGTATCTAGTTTCCGCTTCTTGAAGATGTCAAAAGCCAGCATCTTTGCTCTTAGCCCTGGGAGTCAGTGGTAGCGCACTCCCACTCTAAGAAGAATGAAAACACTGTTAGTAAAATCACAGACTCTGCTTTTGTGCTCGTCAGGACTGCCGGTCTTTGGAGCCCTTCTAGTTTCCCCAGTTTTGCACCTTCAGGACACCGCCTGCTTCCCTGATCAGCATTTAACTAATCAGTCAAGTCCTCTACACTTTCCTCACATACATTTGACCACACTCAACAACTCCCGGGTTACTTGGGTTACTGGAATTGCTCGATACATCTCATAACTAGATCCAGGAGTTTCCCAGCAAATTTGTAATTTCCCAATGCACCTGAGTCCACTAGGCTGTTGCCCACACCAGTACTTCTTGGCGGTGGACATCTCATGGCCTTCCCCAGAGAATGTGCTCAGGTACCCAGTTCATACTCACTTCCTCTCGTCACATGACCACACTTCCGTTTCTGCAAAAAGCAAAACAGTTGTATGCCAACAGACGCTTGCCTCTTTGCCTTAATGTCTCCATTCTTTTGTTTGCCAGTGACCATCACTTTGGGACCGTCTTTAATGTGTGTGTTCCTGTCATTCCGATGTGAACTCCTTTTGCTATGTCCATGATCACTTCCTCTCCATCACTTTTCACCTGCATTTGCAATCTCTCCTTCCACTCATTCCTTCTGCTTTATCAGTAACATATTTAAAATCTCTTGCATCCTTAAAAACAATAATCAAACAGCAAACAACAACAACAAAATACTCCATCCAAAATAAGTGGTTAGTTGAAAACAAAACATAACTTGGAGAAAACTGGCCTAAAAAAATAAATAGAAGGGAAATGGAAATTCAGGGGACTCAGTTAGGGATGGGGGGCAGTAAATAAAGGTATACAGGAAATATGAAAGCCTCTTCTAGGGTACTACTAATTGGATAAGAGGGTTTTTTTTTATATAAGAAAAGATATTTTTTTCAAAAAGTGACAATATTTTAAAACACTATATCAGCAACTATTGACCCTAAGGCTAAGGCTCTTTTTAAAAATTTTTTTTTCAACGTTTATTTATTTTTGGGACAGAGAGAGACAGCATGAACGGGCGAGGGGCAGAGAGAGAGGGAGACACAGAATTGGAAACAGGCTCCAGGCTCTGAGCCATCAGCCCAGAGCCCGACGCGGGGCTCGAACTCACGGACCGCGAGATCGTGACCTGGCTGAAGTCGGATGCTTAACCGACTGCGCCACCCAGGCGCCCCTAAGGCTCTTTTTAAAAAAATGAAGAAAATGGCATCATAAATCTTCAGAAAATTTTAATTGGCTTTAATAAGTTGCAGTAATATTCCTATTATCCCAGTTATCTGCAGAATAGAATGTTCCAGTTAATTAAGTATTCTGGTTAATAAGGACTTGCTTTATCTATCATATGCAAACTACAAATTAAATATACTGGTTGACAAAGACTTGCCATATCTGTCATATGCAAACTACACATGTCAAAGGCTATACCATGAAAGATCACATGGGACGTAATTTACTCTTTCTGTGATGATTCAGAAGGCACTTAGGGTTATTCCAGGGCACCATAGAAAAATGAGAAAAGGAGAATAATCTGAAGAGCAGCTCACCATGCTTTCAGGAATACTATGTACTTAACCTCAAAACAAATCCCATGAGGCAAATATTATCACTGTTTGGCAGATGAAGAAGCTAAGCTAGAGTCAGACATGTGCTCAAGGCCATACAATGGTTCTACTCATGTGTCCAAATTCCAGTGGCCTCTACCAGTAATGACTCTAATCCAGGCTCGTAGTAAGGGATGGAACTCCTGGTATATCAGTTTGAAGGATACATACAAAACCATAAAGCTAAGCAGGACTGTCGAAAATTTTAAATGACCAGAAAAATAAAAGAGCTCTGTAGACCCAGTCTTTCTAGGGTATCTATAGGCGGTAAAATTAAAGATTGGCAACAATTACATCTAGTTAGCAGAAGAATGGGTCAAAGATATGGGGGGATTTAGGTGACGACTAATGTCATCCAAAGTACTGTCCATGGTATGATGGTGGCACCAAGCGACCTTCAGAGAAGGTGACAGTGAAGGCAGATATCAACTTAAAGGGATATTGAGAATCTCTGTAGAATCATTCCTCCTTTATGAGATAGTCCCTGAGAATTAATAATCTGAAATGTAGAGTATACCTTTCTCTTAGACATCACTCCTCTTAAACTTTGTACAAGACTACCATTCCCATCAGGAAACAGAAATTTTTCTCCAAATCCCTTCTGAAACTTCCAGTGCTTGAATGGAGAGCTCAAGCCTGAAACCTAGACAGAAGGAGTGTTCAGAATAAAAGATTTGGAGCCTAGAGTCATGCTGACTTGGGTTCAACCTTGGACAACCTTTCACATAAGCCTCAGTTTTTTCATCTGTAAAATGGAAGTGGTAATACCTATTTAACTGAGTAGGTTAATGTTTCTCTCCCAGCCTCCCAAGACAAGAGTCTCTTATTCTACCCTCTTACTCATTTTCTCCCCTCTGCTCTCTGCATAAGTCAGATGGTTGTAGGGAGGATTTGCAGAACTCTTATCAAGAGCAGGTATTGTCTATACACAGTAAAGGGAGCTAGCTGGCTCACACTTCGAGACTCAATGTCACTGCATCATGGAAGTTTCTCCTAATCACTTTCCACCCCATCCCTTAACCCTTAACCAGTGCTGCTCCTCTGCCTCCACGTGGCCTAGTATCTACCGTCTTTGCCCCTTATCACACTTGTGTTGGATGTGTGTTCTGGCTTTCCACTGGGATGTGAGCTCACGTCTTTCACTTTTGAACCCCTGGCACCCAACTAGCTAACCAGCTCCTGGTGATCTGATTGATTACCAAGTATTTTGTTGAATATATAAATGAAAGAATACCAGTTTTCATCTTCTAGAGGCCTTGGCCCTGAGAATTCAGTACGGTTTATAAGACTCGGAAGTCATGTGGTAATTGCTGTGTTTGTCATTACTTGGTTTATATTCCCCAATTCAGAATTCACCTTAAAGGCTTGCTACCCCCCCTCCCCGAATAATTATAACCGAAAGCCTTAGCTATGGGAAAGTTTTTACTCCAGCGGGGCAGTCACGCCTGGCTCATTAAGCAATAGGAGGAACACATTCAGCACGAGAGAGTCAGCAGGTTCCGGAGAGGTAAAATGACTACCATCCACTCCCACTTGCAATGTGTGGACCACACCACTTTCTTAACCCCCCGGGATAAACCTTGTGCTCAAAGGAGGTACCTGGAGACAGGAGAGAACTTGTAGGCAATTCTGCCTCCCTTCCCTCAGGATTCTACCACCTGGGATCTCAGCCTGGGGATTCAGGATGACCTCTGCTCCCCTTTAGTTTCCTGAGAGGTGCATAAAGTTATTGTGTTGAACTTGTTTTCTCTATCAAGGGAGAAGGCCTTTATGATCGTCACTTTCAGGAAGTTTTGACTACTTTAATGTAAAAACTGCTGCTGAATTTTCTTAGTAAATGTAAAGATACAAAGCTGAACTCATTGTGCTCCCAGAAATACGTTAAATAGTCATTTGTTCTGAGGTGGGTGGGAAACGATTTTGTGTCGTCAGGATTCGCCCTGTTCTTGGGGCACATTGCTCTTCAATTTAAGAGCCAGCTTTGCTGCACTTTAAGAAAATCAAAAACAAAATTAAAAGCACTTTAGTGGAGTCTAACGACAAATATTTATTTCTCACTTACTTTTCATGTCAGCAGAGACAAGGCTGCCTTGGTTGGCTTCTGCTCATTCTCCCACAGAGACTGAAAAGACAGCTCCTATTTGGGAATTTGCATTCTAGTGACAGAGAAGAAAAGCAAGAGAGTTTAGTGGGGCCTTGTCATGCCTCTTAACAGTTCTGCTGGGCCGTGGCAATACCTCACACCTCCCTGCTCACATTTGATCAGACAAAGCAGGACATGTGGCCAAGGCCGAAGTCTCTGGGGCTGAAATATGTAATGCTTTTACAAGAAAGTGGGTAGGATACATGGAAGGGCAGTGTAGCATCCACCAAGTTCATGAGCAGTGTCATGGCTTGGATTGGGGATGAGATATATACTGTACCTTACAGAGCAGAGATTCTGGAGAGAAGGTGAGCCGGAGTTATCAGTCTCTTTAAATGATGGTGAAAAAAAAGAAAAACACCGGTAATTCTACTGTGTGCCTCTTTGGTCACTGTTTTATAACCTGATTTCCACACATTTGTATTCCTTTCCTGTTTTCAGGGGATGATGGAACACAGACTCATCCTGAGAACAGCAGCCAAGAAAACAGAATCAAGGCTCGCTGCCGGTCATGCACGTCCATGGTTCTGAAGGCCGTCTGGGGACTTTTGATCATCTTGTCAGTCTCATCGTCTTGGGTTGGAACCACACAGATTGTAAAAATTACTTACAAGAACTTCTACTGTCCATTTTTCATGACTTGGTTTTCAACAAACTGGAACATTATGTTTTTCCCAGTCTACTATTCTGGTCATCTGGCCACTGCTCAAGAAAAGCAGTCTCCAATGAAAAAATTCAGGTAGGTTTCATGTTAAATGGCCAACACAAGATGTTTTAAAATAACTTTATGAAAATATCCATCACTTTATCTCTTTGGAATATGAACTGAGTTGACTTGGGGAGTGTGGAGAGCTCGGATCTAGGGTTGGTAATGAATACATGAGCACTAGGAACAAGAATCTGGGCCCCCCACCAAAAAAATTATTGAATGTCTACTACATGACAGGTGCTGTGCTGGTGCTTTTGTAGATCTTATCTTAATCATCATTGGTGGTAACATCTACCTTTGAGGGTGGTGGTATTATTCCCATTTTAACACAAGAGGAAACAGGTTTAGAAAGATTACATGACCTGTCCAAGGTCAATACTTCCAAATGACCCAGATTTCAATCCAGAATTATCTCTGAAAGTCATGTCTTAAAAGAACACCCTAGTGTCTCAGGCCCAGAAAAAAAAAAAAAAAAAAAACCTGTATTCATAAGATTGTGATAAAAACATTTGCTCAATATTCTGGAAGCTGTGGTGCCTAAGCAGATAAAGAGACCTGGTTTCATGCAAAAGGAAGTTTGGCCCTGATGGTTTAGAAGATGTCATTCTTTGCTGGCTAGGAGCACATGGGGCCTTTACTCTTGGTTCGCCGGCTCTGAACCTGGTAGTGCCATGGTTCCAGTAGTTTCTCTGTGCTGAACTTGGCTTCTGCAGCACCATCTTGGAAAGCTCAGGAAGCTGGCAGGACCAGCCCTGCACAGCACCCAATGGGAGAGGGACAGTTGTCCACACCAGCTTATTGTTCCTTGGTAGAATGGCAATAAATACATTTTGCAGAAGCCGAAATAACATTTCTTTCTTGCCCCCGTACTTACTGAAAAGAAGTGAATTTATCAGACAAACTGCAAAGCGTGTACCTTCAACTTCCATTTTCTGTCACCAGCTTGGAAGTGCCCTGAAATATTAGAGTCACACTGTGAGCTGATTTTCCATGGTATCCATGATAATTCAATTAAAATTAAACAAAACCAATTTATAAAAAAATAAATGTTTTCTGGTTTGAAGGAAAGAAATAAGTCTTATACCTATTTGTGACTGCTAAAGATACTTTGTATTTGATTCCCATCAAAATAGACATGATCTTGGGGAATAAGGTCTTTTTTGTTTGTTTGTTTAAAATGTTTTTTTATTGAGACAGAGAGAGAAAGGTGGCGAGCCAGAGAGGGGCAGAGAGGGAAATACAAAATTGCAGTCAGGCTCCAGACTCTGAGCTGCCAGCAACAGAGTCCCATACGGGGCTCGAACTCACAAACCGTGAGATCATGACCTGAGCCGAAATTGGATGCTTAACCGACTGAGCCACCCAGGCGCCCTGGGGCATAAGTTCTTTTTAATAACAATATTTAATAAGCGATTGCAGGGGACATGATCAGACTAAAATTCTCCCTGTCTGAAAATAGTTTACCCATAGCATGTATGTTTTACTCCGGCGCTCCTAGGGTTTGGACACACATACTGATAAAAACAACAAAAGTTTAGTATGGGATGTAGTACCTCAGAACGCCTCAAAGCAAGCCAAGTGGGTTATATTTAAGATAACACATTTACACCAAGAGGCTGCTGCTGACAGAAATGTTGTTTTGGGAATGGGTTTCATCTCCACTACATCTCTCATGTCTGACTAACTCTACATTTAGTGAGACCTGTGATTTGACAAGACACCTCCACCTGTTAGTGCAGGTAGAGTGAACTTGACCATTTCTGAAGCCGAATCAAAGAGCTTTTATTGTCAAGCAGAAAACATTGTCTTTGAAGAGAATATTCTCCAGAGGGCCCCTCCGTATGAGAGGTAAACATTGCCAGAAAATCCTAAGATCCTTGATCTTTTTGCCTTGTAGACTCATTAACACCATCTGCCAAGGAGGCCCTCCCCGAAGCTCTCGTGGCAGAACACGGGGAAAACAGACTTAGTGTATGAGACTGGAAACAGAATTTGTCCCGTTGCGCCAGACCCTCTCTTTTCTCATTTTCTTTGAATGGTATGAAAGCATTTTCAGTGGTTTTCTTATCACTAACCTCAAAAGAATTTTCAATAATGTATCAGATCTAGATCGTGGGAATTGTGCATTTGGAAATTGTTTTGGATATTACAATCATTTCATATAAACCATGAAGAGAATTTAATTGTATCACATGAATTTTAAATTTAATAAGAAAAAATTTATAAGCCATAGTTTTGACAGGGATGTTTCCTTAAAGGAAAAAGTCTCTAGAAAGCATGAAGCTAGAGCTAAAGATATATTTGTCTATGTCATACACCTATGAAATGTGCTTAAGATGTCATCTGACATACAGAAGGGGTTCAGTAACTACTGAGTGCTATAACAATGTTGAACATAATTAAATTATTAGTGTCCCCCAGCTTCTAAGCTTCAGTCTAAGCTTTACCACCCATCAGTGCCTCTTGTCTAGAAATTCTGATCTCATCATTCCAAGGAGAGACCAGTTACTTGCTTATTGATAGAAAGAAATCCTTTCTTTTTTTGAATTTTCCCATTTCTTAGTACATAATGCTTAAATAGCAAAAAGTTCTACACAGGTGACCTGGCGTTTGAGCGGAGAGCATTTTTAATTCCTGCTATAGGGTTGGCAGTGAGAGGAGGGAGAAAGAGGGGAACACTAAGGAAGCCAACACCAGGGAGGGGGACAGGATGAGCCAGGTGAAAGGAACAATCTCCACCCCCTTGGGGGAGGGGCTCTCCCTGTCCCTGTGCCTCCCCGTGGGTTCAGAATGTGTGCTCTCCTGGATTCAAAGTCTTTGCTTGAGAGCCCTGAACCCAGCATGACGGTGGGCTCTGGGAAGGAAGAACCATCACTGGCCAGGGCCAATGATATGAAAAGAAATCCTTTCATCAGAAATGGGTTTGTTGTGGTTCTTCATAAATGTGTATTTAAAAAGCCATTTGGGGGGCGCCTGGGTGGCTCCGTGGGTTGAGCGACCCACTTCGACTTAGGTCATGATCTCAGGGGTACTTGTGACAGCACTGAGTTCTCTGCTGTCTGCGCAAGCCTGCTTCAGATCCCCTCTCCGCCCCCCCCCCCCCCCCCCCCCCCCCCCCCCCGCCCTGCTCTTGCTGGCTCGTGCTCTCTCAAAAATAAACATTGAAAAAATATACATATAAAGGAATATTTAAAAGTTTTTTAAATACCTAAAAAGCCATTTAGTAGTTATAGATATCAGGATGAGCCCATGACTCTGAACGCCAGCTCTCTCTGGCAGACTTTCTCACAGGGCAGATCCCTTTGGGAGCACAACCAGAATGCAGAAAACGAAGAGAATGCAGAAAATGCCAGGATGTCCCGGGCAAACTGCTGCTTGGTCTGTGTGTGGCTCTGATTCACTGTATCTCCTCGGCTGCAGGGCTTGAGAGATGCTGTCCATTTCCCTGTGTGTGTGAGCGTGTGCGATTTCTGTTTACAAAAGAATTTGTTTTTAGATTATTTCATCCCTTCCTTGAAGTTTTGTCTCTTTCAAATTAAAATTTACCTTCAGGAAATCACATTTTTTAAAAAGTTTATTTTGGGAGAGGCAGCACATGAGTATGTATGAGGACAAGTGAGGGAAGAGCACAGAAAGAGGGAGAGAGGGAGAATCCCAAGCAGGCTCCTTGCTGTCAGCCCAGAGCCTGTCTCGGGGCTCAAATCCACGAACAAAACCGTGAGATCATGACCTCAGCCGAAATCAAGGGTCCCATGCTTAAATCACATTTTTATTAAAAAACAATCCTTCCTTTTTCGTTGTCTCCCACATAAACAGTAAAACTATTACACAAGTTTCTATATGTGCAATATGCATTTTTAACCTCCCTGGATTTGCTGGCCTACAATTCCCAGAATTCTCAGCTGCTGGGAAGCAGCGTTTGCCATGAGACTTGACATTGAAGGCCATACTCCAATGCTTAGAGCCTCACCACTTTGTCACTCCCTCCCTTCATGTGGCCCTCCTGTGGAGTAAGTTGCTTCATGCGTGTGAGGCAGACATTGGCTAGAGATTACTTTGGTTTGCAATACTTTGAGGCACAACTGTTTCTCTTCAGAAAAATTTAGAAGAAAAACTAATGCTAATAACCAACTAGAACCGCGTAATTTCATTATAACCATGCAAACATTAGGAACTTGTTCCTTAAACAAGATATTTATGCTACTCTTGAAAACACTTCCTGGAACATTATAGTTGCCCAGTAAATTCTTGGATGTTCATGAACAACTGAATAAAAAAAAAAATAAATCTGAGTTACCCAATGGCGAGCCTATTTTCAGTCCATAGTCAAAGTTTTTCTATCATATCATTATTGCTTGTCTGTATCACTAGTTTGAACGTTTTGATTGAAATGGCACCTTGGTTTAATCATCAAATGGGGTGCCTGGGTGGCTCAGTCGGTTAAGCGTCTGACTTTGGCTCAGGTAATGATCTCACGGTTCGTGGGTTTGAGCCCCGTGTTGGGTTCTGTACTGACGGCTCAGAACCTAAAGCATGCTTTGGATTCAGTGTCTCCCTCCCTCTCTCTCTCTCTCTCTGCCCCTGCCCCACTCATGCTATGTCTGTCTCTTTCTCAAAAATAAACATAAAAAAAATAAGCAAACAAATCAAAGATTTAATGGAACTGATTATTTTTATACAATTAAATTCATGTAATTCCTCCAAAACCGCCAATTGTGTGTATATAAATACAACTTGCATTTGATTATTTATTTATTTACCATTTGGAGGTCATCACAGAACCTTCATTTTTTTTTTTCCTGTCTTAAAAATGCTAGAAGAAAAACAAATTATTCAACTGGGCAGAAAGATAAGGAAGAGGCATAGTCTTTTAGGAAAAATAAAATTCCAAACTGTGTGTGGCTCTTCACCATATGTGAAGCTGCAAGTTGTCTATACCTGTTCACACAGTAGTGACCCTCCTGGTCCTATTGCATTTGCCCATTGGGAAAGAACCTTCTCTCTCTTCTAACAGTAACTCTGAAAATGACTCATTTCCCTGTTTCTCCAGGCTTCTCTGAGAATGTTCAGCAGCAGAATGGCTGTCCCAGCCATCTCGAGAGAATATCTAGATAGGAAAGGGCCTTCGCTCTGCGCCTGGAGAGACATGGGCTCTTTTCCATGGAACCCTCTGCCCCTGTAGTGGCCCAGAGATGGGAGGCCTGGGTTCAGTAAGTTCCACAGATGCATGATGGGCATTGGCGTTTGTGCTCTTGCCAGAAAATGACCGTCAAGAGTTAGACAACGCAAAGTATGTCACAATTAATACCTGACAACCTTTTTTTCTTTCCTAGGGAATGCAGTCGGATTTTTGGTGAAGATGGTCTGACATTGAAGCTCTTCCTTAAAAGAACTGCTCCCTTTTCTATTCTATGGACTTTGACTAATTACCTGTATTTACTGGCTTTAAAGAAGTTGACAGCCACGGATGTCTCTGCTCTGTTCTGTTGTAACAAAGCCTTTGTCTTCTTGCTGTCGTGGATCGTGCTGAAAGACAGGTTCATGGGAGTGAGGGTAATGGCACACTTGATTCAATGTGTGAGGCCACCCGTAATTGTAGATCCTTGGCATCAGGAGTGCTTTGTTTCATGAAATTTCTGTAAAACTTTCCCCATTGGTTCTGAGTACAAATTAGAATTTGAAGATGCATTAGAACACCCAGGCAGTTACAATATCATGAAAAGACAGAGATGGTCTCCCTTGGGCAGTCGGCTGATTTCGACAGGAGCCACTAAAACAGAGAAGATAAGTTCTTTTTTTAGGATTAATGGTGTGACCAACTCCTTCTATCCTCAGGGTGAAGGGGTCTGGGAAAATTAGTCACAACAAAGATTATGATTTTTTTTTCCAGTCACCATACGTTGGGACAATTCCCTCATGCTTTCCCTCCCCCCAGCCCGAGATGGATTTAATTAACATTGGTGTAAGTAGATAAGGTTACCAAACAGTAATTAAAGTCACTGGTAACGGCACAATGCTGTTAAAAGTGGCTATATATCTAGCGTGACTAATCCAGAAATGCAACGAAAAGCACCAACTTGTACTTTGGGGTACAGATCCTCAATTGAACTGTATTAAACTTCCACCGACCACTTCAGTTCTGAGTTTATTCCTTTCAGAAGTGATACGGACTTCTTAAAAGATTTTATCTTGCATGCTTGTTCTGTTAGATTGATGGAAAGTCATGGAGGTTTCAGGAGCCAGATCTCATTCATGTATCTGGAATGCCACCATGATGAAAATATTGAGAAAATAATTCTTTAGAAAGAGTAGAAATGAAATGAAAAGCCTTTTCCCAGAAGATAAACATCACACAATTCTTCTCTGAAAGAGATGTCCAAGACTGGATGTGAAACATATTTTGCTATCAAAATATTGTTCTTACTGCAATGATCCCAGGGTCCTTGTCCCCCTAATTGCGGAAATTAATATTAGAAAGAGAGTTGATGACAGCCATTAACCCTTAAAACTTCTTTTTAATAGCAAATTCTGATTATGTCTTGGGAGATGCTACTCAGAAATTCAGAATGGAAGCTTGACATGAACGAGAAGTAGAAAGCTACAGAAGACAAAATGAGAGGGGCAACTGGGTGGCTCTGTAGGTTGACTTCGGCTCAGGTCATGATCTCACGGTCCATGAGTTTGAGCCCCACATCGGACTCACTGCTGTCAGCCTATCAGCACAGAGCCTGCTTCAGATCCTCTGTACCCCTCTCTCTGCCCCTCCCCCACCCGTGCTCTCCCAAAATAATAAAAAATAAAAAATAAATAAAAGAAGATAAGATAAACTCTGAATCAGTCCAGGATGCATTAGAGTATACCCAGATATGGTACGACACTCTCCCCCAGCCAATCTTAGATTTGACATCCAGAAAGCTTAGCATCATGTTTTTGCACATCGAGCACCCGTGCTGGCTGCCTACCATCAGGTACCCTGACAAATCCTGGAGAGCGGGGACCTTCCCTGCACTGCTTGCTGCCCCATTCAGGATGGGCTATATAATTCGTGGGACCTAGTGTGGAAGCAAACACAGGGATCACTCTTTAAAACATTATCAATAATTTCAAGGCAGCAACAACAGAGCATGAAACCAAGGGCAAGGCCCTTCTAATCATGAAGACCTATGCATCTGCACAGGCCATATGCCCATGAAGCCAGCTCTGCCTCTATCTCGAATACCTAGAATAATGCAGGGGACAAAATGGAGCTCAGTAGATATTTGAGGATATAGTAAATAAATTCATGTTTACGAGGACTCTTTTCTATTTGCTAGCATCATGGATTATCCATGAGAGTTTGGAAGGCCTTGTCAGAAGAAGGGGAAAGAGAGGAGATATAGGGTCTTTTTTTGCCTTTTCAATGGCATCTGAATACTCAAAGGGAATCAATACATTCACTATTAGATTTACCAGTGAGAAAATCAGTTGTTTTAGAGTGAATTAATGCATTTAACCATGGAACTTACTGATGCAAGATGTCCTATCAAAAGAGGTTCTGTGTTTGAGAGTTAAAAAACTCAGCTGTGTAACTTATATTTAAACCAAAGATTTAGGAAATCTGCCAAGAGGCAACAAACCATCGCCATTTTAAAACTGGCATCTATAGGGGCACCTGAGTGGCCCAGTCAGTTGAGTATCCAACTCTTGATTTTGGCTCAGGTCATGATCAGCCCATGGATCAAGCCCCACATTAGGCTCTGCACTAAGCGTGGAGTCTGCTTAAGATTCTCTCTCTCCCCCCCCCTCTCTCTCTCTCTCTCAAATAAAAAAAAAAATAAATTGGCATCTATAGTGGGTTCAATGATGGTCCTCAATAAGGTGCCCACACCTTCATCCCCAGTCCTTATGAATGTGACCTTATTTGAAGGCGTAATTATTTTTTCTTTTTCATTTTGTATTATTTTTCTTTTTTTGAATATGATTTATTGTCAAGTTGGCTAACATATAGTGTGTAAAGGGTGCTCCTGAATTTTGGGGTAGAGTCCCATGGTTCATTACTTACATACACCACCCAATGCTCATCCCAACAAGTGCCCTCCTCAGTGCCCATCACCCATTTTCCCTTCTCCCTGCCCCCATCTGCCCTCAGTTTGTTCTCTGTATTAATGAGTCTCTTATGGTTTGCCTCCCTTCCTCTCTTTGTAACTATTTTTTCCCCTTCCCTTCCCCCATGGTCTTCTGTTAAGAGTCTCAAGATCCACATTTGAGTGAAAACATATGATATCTATCTTTCTCTGACTTATTTTACTTAGCATAATACCTTCCAGTTCCATGGAATCATGAAATGGCGTGATTTCATTCTTTCTCATTGCCAAGTGGTATTCTATTGTATGTATAAACCATGTCTTCTTTATCCATTAGTTGATGGACATTTGGGTTCTTTCCATAATTTGGCTATTGTTGAAAACACTTTGCAGGCACAATTTAACATAAGGATTTAGAAAGAGGAGATCATCCTAGAGTATTTAGGTGGCCCTAATTCCAGTAACAGATATCCTTATAAAAGACAAACACACAGGACAGACACACAGAAGAGGAGAAGACAATGTGACCAGACAGACAGAGATTGGAGTGCTGTGGCCACAAGCCCAGGAAAGCCAGGGAAGCTACCAGAACCTGGAAGAGCCAAGGGATGCTTTCTCTCCTAGAGCTGCCGCTGGGAGCATGGGTGTGCTGGATTGTGAACTTCTGGCCTCCAGAACTGTGAGAAAATAAATTTCTGTTGTTTTTAGTCACCAGGTTTGTGGTAATTTGTTACAGCAGCCTCAGGAAACTAATACAGCCTCTGTAAGTAATAAGACCCAATAGAAAAAAAATGTTAAATACCCAATGAGCACTTGTTAATAAATATACACATACATTTATATACATAAATTAAGATATCTTAGATGGCAAGATGGTAAACAATGTCAGGCATGCTGGTAGAAGTCACATGTTTTTCTTCTTAAATGACAGGAAATGTTTCACTCCTCACTGTGAAACATTAGGAAGTGTTTAATGTCATGCCAAGGTGTAATTTTAATGATGCCCGTAATCAGGTCATGGAATATGAGAAGAACCAAAACATATTCAGCATTTTGCCTTTTGACAGTATCAGCCATTCTTTTTTTCATGAGACATATTGAGAACATGTATAATTGGGTCATTTGAGAAATTAAAAGAGGGCAATTCGAATACTGACAACATAAATGTAGTTTTTATTGCCTACGTCCATAAGTAATCAAAGCATGGCCTGCAAAAGCCACTCCGCTTAGACTATTCTCTTTTTTTTATAGTTAAAGTGTTGCTTTCTTTTTAAAAAAATGTTTTATGTTTATTTATTTTTGAGGGAGACAGACACACAGAGTATGAGCAGGGGAGGGGAGAGAGAGAGAGGGAGACGCAGAATCCAAAGCAGGCTACAGGCTCTGAGCTGATAGCACAGAGCCTGAATTGGGGCTCGAACCCATGAATGGTGAGATTATGACCTGAGCCAAAGTCAGAGGCTTAACCGACTGAGCCACCCAGGTGCCCCTGAAAGTGGGGCTTTCAGTCATCAGATTAAAATGTGTATTTTTGATTCATTCTGAGGCTTCAGTGGTTTACAAATTGACAGTTTTTGGATTATAATTTTCATTTGACCCCAAGAATGATCACATTTAAGATGATCACATTTCCTACTTCTATTTTTCACATCAAAAATGATACCATGTGGGCGCCTGGGTGACTCAGTCAGTTAAGTGTCTCTCGATTTCGGCTCAGGTCATGATGCCATGGTTTGTGGGATCAAGCCCCGCATTGGGCTCTGTACTGACAGTGGGATCCCATTTGAGATTTTCTCCCTGCCTCTCTCTGCCCCTCCCCCCCTCACACCCACTCACTCTCTCTCTCAAAATAAACATTTTAAAACATGACACCACGGACAGAAAGAAGGATGCTTTAAGTTGTAAAACCAGTAAATATGTGTTTCTCTGGAGCACTAATTGGCTAGAAATAGCAATGCTCACAGAAAAATTAATTACATATTATGAATAACTTGTTAATATTTTGTGGTTTTTTGGAATATTATTTGAATTACAGATGGAAAGGTAATTTTGTTGTACCATTATATTTCTTTCATAAAATCATTTCAGCCAATTTGCTGGTAAACATTGTTGTGTTAAAAACCCTTTCATGACCAGTTGCTTACGGCTGATATATGATCATCCCATGAAAATTAGTAAACTTTTTAAAAAGATCTTTCTTTTTTAATTTGCACAACTATTGGTGAGAATTCAGCTCTTTCAGCTTTGAGGAACCTGCCAGGTTCTCATCTTCAAGAACCTGTCTTGTTTAGCTATGGTTCTTAAATTCATGAAAACCAAAGAAATTGCATTAATAAAAAAAGGTTCTCCTCAAAGAAAATGAGCCACTGGTTGGGGGTTTTCTTCTCTGTCTCTGGTATCAGTTTCACTCAAATTTGAAAAGTAAATGTCAGACTGGAAAGTTGAAACTCTTTCTTTCAGATCTTGTCCCTCCTTTACGTTTTATATTAT